ACTCACAAGATTGTTCTCTGACAAGTGCCCCTGCCGCCATATGCACTAGTAAAATACACATTTTATGTGTATGAACATGTGGTCTGCATATGTATGTATACCATGTGTGTGCCTGGTGCCTCTGGAGGTTAGAAGATTGGGTCTCCTGGAAATGGAGTTACTGATGGTTGTGAGCCATCTTGTGGGTGCTGGAATTGAACTGGGGCCCTCTGCAAGAGCAAGTGCTGCTCCTCTCCAGCCCTAAAATCACTAAAATAAAAAACTTAAAGGAACTACACAAAGAAAAAGAGAAATAAAAAACTTTTTTTTAAATCTCAAGAGTTTGTAAACTGGTTAACATTGGTGTTAAATATTTACCAGCATACCACATGCCTTTAATTCCAGCATTTGGGAAGCAGAGGCAGGTGGACTCTCCTCCCTCTCCATCTCCCTCTCTCCCCTCCCCCCAATACAATTACATTTTACCAACCAAACAGAACCATAGCAAGCATTCCTTCCTTACTCCCACACTCACTCACTGTGGTGACTGTCGGCTCTGTCAACAAACTGATACCGGGGCCTTCAGTCAAGTCCCTTTGCATAAGATCATCCCAGATGGGATTGTTAGTACACACCCATGCCTACTCCATGCCTCGCTCCCCAGTATCCAACCACTTCCTACCTACTGGTAACTTTGCATGTGGCCTTGGGGGTGGGGGCGGGGCTAGAGCATGTTTATAGGCCCTGGCTCCATCTATGCAGCTGTGGGGAAACGCTCAGTCTTGCCAGGTAAGGCTCTCCTGGTGCAGCTGGTTGGGGAAGGAGAGCCCACACCCCTGTGAGTAACCCTTCACCTATGCTCTGTAAGACAGCCCAAGAAGCTCATTGAGTCTCCGGAGAACTCTGGTGGAGCCCAGTTTGTCTGTCATTGGATGTTAGGGGAAAGGTAAATGTGGCTTTTCTCTCCCCCTGGGCAGGAATTGTGCAACACCAATGTCATTGTCAAAGATGATGTTGTTGGAGCAGAAGGACTCAGATTAGCATTGACTTCTGTAGGGAAGTGTTCAAGCACAGCTTTAAAATATTTCACAGAGACTCTTAAGCTGACTCCTGACAAACTGATACTTCTATGGATCAAACGTGTAAGCCGGGCCAGCGTCTCACGAGCAGCAACCTTGCTCCTCAGCTTCCAGAGTGCTGCAATTACAGGAGTGTGCTGCCACTTCCATTTTGAGATAGGCAACTTTCTATAGTTTTTATTTCTTTTCTTGGTGTCGGACTGGAACCCAGGGCTTGTGCATGTCTGGCAAATGCTCTACCACTGAGCTCACATCCATCACCTAGAAAGTACAACTTAACATTTTTGCTTTGGAGACGGTCTGCTGTGCCTTTTCAATGCTGCTGCGTCAGCTCCCTGCCACTGCACAAGGTATTCAGCTTTAATTCTACCAAAATACATGAATTGTGGCGAATGCTGATTACCCACAGGCTCTGCAAGTAATCCGCTTGCTAAAATTTGTAACCCCAAAATGAATACTTACAGTCAGTCACAAGAGTGTGCAGAGAGAAGTCTGTCACCTGACTTGCACCTTCCTAGCTGAGGCTTACGAAGTGCTAGTTCTGTGTAATGTCCTTTACATGCTCTACTTAGACACTTGTTTTGCACTTTGGTTGGCAACCCAATGGCCAAGAGGTACAAGTAGTTCTGCCCTGTGTGCCTTTCAGATAAAAAAGAAGTTTTGTGTAGGTATTAGTACAGTGGTCAAGGTGTTTTGTTTGCTGACCATGTTACTTTTTTTTTTTTTTTTTTGAGATAGGGTTTCTCTGTGTAGCCCTGGCTATCCTGGATCTTGCTCTATAGACCAGGCTGGCCTCGAGCTCAGAGAGATCTACCTGCCTCTGCCTCCCAAGTGCTGGGATCAAAGGCGTGTGCCACACCTGGCTACATTTTTCAATATTAAGCCATAATTGAAATACTTGAAAGGTTCTATGAAATCTGATTTTCTGATATTTCTCTTAGGCCTTGAATCCACACTTGTAACAAATCTTTTAAAAGGTAGATTCCGGGTTGGGGAGATGGCTCAGTAGATAAACCATTTACCATTTGTGAGGACAGGAGTTTGGATCCCCAGGACCCAAGTAAAGTTTGGGTAGGTGTGATGACCTGCATGTAACTGCCTGCATGTAACTCTAGAACTCTGAAGCAGGCTAGCTTGACTAGAGGAACTGGTGAGCTCTGGGTTAGGCTAGTTCTAAGAGGTCCTTCCTGTCCCAGTGAGCAGGGTGGAGACTGAAGCAGATGCCAGCATCAGCTTCCCACATCCACACACACATACACGTGTGCTGTGAAGATTTGCCACTAGGATTGATTTAATAAAAAGCTGAATGGCTAATAGCTAGGCAGAATTTTTGGGGCAGAGAGGATGCTGGTAAGAAGGGCAGTCATGAGAGTCAAGGGATGCAGAGAGAAGCAAGATGAACATGCCGAGTTAAAAGAAAGTACTGCCATGTGGTAGAGGGTAGATAAGAAATATGGGTTAGTTTAAGTTGTAAGAGCTAGCTAGTAACAATCCTAAGCTATTGGCTGAGCATTTATAATGAATAATAAGTCTCTTTGTGGTTATTTGGGAGCAGGCTGGCAGGACAGAGCTGACTGGCAGTCCCAACGAAAAACTCCCATATGTGCACACACTCACGAGACACAAATTTTAGTTAAAAAAAAATCTTAAATAGATGTGTGCAAAATGAAGAAAAACTAAGATCCTACATGCTTATTTTGGGGGTAGGGCAAGACAATGAGTTAAAAATTCAATCCAGCCGGGCAGTGGTGGCATACACCTTTATTTAATTCCAGCACTTGGGAAGCAGAGGCAGTGGGCTCTCACTGAGTTCGAGGCCAGCCTGATCTACAGAGCAAGTCCCAGGACAGTCTCCAAATCAACACAGAGAAACCATGTCTCAAAAAAACAAAAACCAAAACCAAAAAAAAAAAAAAAAAAAACGAATCCATTTTTTAATTATGTTGCAGAATTTAAGCCAGTTTAAAAATTTTCCTCACACATTTAAAACATTTTTATAGTTAGTGGCGGTGGCACATGCCTTTAAGCCCATCACTTGAGAGGCAGAGGCAGGTGGAGCTCTGAGTTCAAGTCCAGCCTGGTCTACAAATCGAGTTCCAGGAAAGCTAGGGCTACACAGAGAAACCTTGTCTCCAAAAATAAATAAATAATAACAAAATGATAGCCTATAGTGGAATAAGCTCACCAAGTACCCATCGTGGCTTGTCCTATTAAACTGTCTTTAGCATATTGCAAATATTCCAAACACAAAAACTTTTGTTGCTGTTTATGTTTTTCAAAATAGGGTTTCTCGGTGTAGCTCTGGATGTCCTGGAACTCACTCTGTAACTCTGTAAACCAGGATGGCCTCGAACTAGAAATCTACCTGCCTCTGTCTCCCAAGTGCTGGGATTGAAGGTGTGTGCCACCACCTCCCAGCTGACACTAAAACTTTCAAAACAAAACAGTTTAAAAATTATCTTGACTTAAAATCCCACCTCGCTGCTATTTTGTGAGACAGTGAACCCAGCATTTTGCTCACTCCAGGCAAGTGCTTTACCTCTTACATCTCCACCTTCCCCTGGTGTCTTAATTTAGAAAAATGACAGTTGGGTATGCTTACACATTTCTGTAACCCACTATGCAGGTTAGAGGCAACTGGAGTAAAACAAAAAGAAAACAAAAGATGGGGGGAAATATACATAGGGGTGATGGGTGATATCGCTCTGTATGCTGTGAATGTGTTGCTCTGACTGATAAATAAAACACTGACTGGCCAGTAGCCAGGCAGAAAGTATAGGCAGGACAAGCGGAGAGAATCCTGGGAAGTGGAAGGCTGAGTCAGGAGACATCAGCCTGCCACCCAGGGAGCAGCATGAAATGGCACACAAGTAAAGCCACAGATGACATGGCAATATATAGATGAACAGAAATGGGCTGAGTCTAAGTGTAAGAGCTAGTCAGTAGTAAGCCTGAGCTAATGGCCGAGCAGTTTTAATTAATATTAAGCCTCTGTGTGTTCATTTGGGTCTGAGGGACTGAGGGGCTGCAGAACCGTGGGAGCCGGTTGGGACCAGGAAAACTTCAGCTACATGGGGTTTTTGTTTTTATGTTGCTAGCTGAATTTTAATACACATTTGACCTTTGGACTGGTTCCTAGAATCCTTTGCAGATATCAAGACCTGTGGATATTTACATCTCTCATGTACTTTTTGTGCTTAGTACTGACTCCTTATGTATATTAATCACTTGATTTATCACCGAGCTACATAGTCTACTCATCATGTGCAATACAATGCATATTTCAATATATGAGACTAGCTTGGCTTTGAACTTGCTATAGCAGATGACCTTGAACTCCTATCTCTGCCTCTTGAGTACTGAGAACACAGACCTGTGCCACCACAAAACACATTTTTTAAAAATGTATGTGTGGTTGCTAAAAGCAGAAGAGTATCAGATCCCTTAGAGCTGAAGTTACAGACAGCTGCAAATCACCCAATGAGGGTGCTAGATGCTGAATTTGGGTCCTCTGGAAGAGTACCAAGTGTCCTTACCTGTTCAGTAATCCCCCTAGACTAGAGACCTACAGTTGAATTCCCTAGTGTGGAATCCAG